GGGTACGAACCCATAAGATTCTGTAACACAAGCTTTCTCTCCACGCTGCGGGCTGAGACCCGTTAGACTACAAGGCAACCGATCCCCCCGCCGAAATCTCAGTAAAGTGTTGCCCGTAAAGCTATCGCCGTAAAGCAATCGTTGTGGATGGCTCGGGAGTAGAGTGCCTCAATGTTGCTTGCTGGCTTCATCTTGAAAGGGTGGCGACATCGTTTGGGAGGGCAAGTGCCCCCTTTTCCCTACTGCGGCCACCAGTATGCCTCCTCCCTCCTGACCGACGCCGAAAAAAACGCATCCTTGATGTAATTTGTAACGCTGCGTGTTCTCGGGGTTACCCGGTGCCTTTTCACGAGTGGTAATGTTCAATGACAATAAGAGCGTGATGACCTCATAAAAGATTAAAGACAAGGTGGAGACTCCGTAAGCAGACGGAAGAGTTATCACCCCTCTGTGAGGGCCACCCAGCAACATTCAGGCATTCTACTCTGGAGCCACCGCTGCCTCTTCAGCCTTGTTGTCTTGTTGTTCAGGACTGGAGTCATGAACCGGAAGAAGTAGCCACCCAAGGCTCTTCCTCAGCAAGAAAACACCCCAATTTATTCAACTCATACGTGATGTGTCTCTTTAACAGTCGACCAAGGCAGTACAGAATGACGAAGGAAAGAAGATTCACACTTCAGACATCGAAATCTAAACTACTTCTAAGAATAAAAAAACAGCTTTAATGACTGACACCCGAAGACGCAAATGCAGCTGCACTCCTTTCACCCTCACTAATCTGAGACCTCACTAGTCTCCGCTTCATACGCCTCAGCCCCTAACCAAGTTTTAATACTCATCGTGTTTTCGGAATACGGCGTGTCAAATTCACGACAACAGGATTTCGATCACAGCATTATATATCAGGGGTTGAAGTGGACGATAAATCTCATGTACCGATTCGGTAGGTTGGCTCTGAATATTACCTGCTTGGGGTGATCAGTGCATAATCATCTTATTCAAATGTAAAGCTTAAATTTAGTCCTTCATGCCTCACTAACATACGTGTTTGTTTTTTGTTTTTTGTTTTTTAATTTAGTGCCCAGTTTTAGTATTGTTGAACATGCGTAGTGAAAGGTACAAACAAGTATTGTCGCTTTCCGTTTTTTACTGTTTATTAACCGTCGTCTTTCTAAACCTTGCAGAACGAACTAGGCAGGAATTTTGATGCAGATGTGAACGCGCTCCTTTAGGTGGCCTGTCACCCGCCAAGTCCCCTTTCAGCGGTGCAGGGCCTTTCTGCTACATTTTATCTTCACACAAATGCCACAGAGCCAGATCAAATGAGATAACTACAGTTGAACCTGCTACGCGCGAACTTTTCATTGTCTGCCTTACATTTGCGACCAATCGCCTCTTCCCCTTCTTTCAAAGGCTATTGGAGGCTTTCGCACATGTATTTATGTAAACTGTATAATCCAGCTAAGTATGTCTTAACGCGGACCAATTGAATAGTGTCTCTTACTTTTGTTTTATAATGTAAAAATGTCTGGAAGTGGATCTTTTGTTTTATAATGTAAAAATGTCTGGAAGTGGAGTCTTATTTCTAAAACGGTGAAACATGTGCCATATGTGTGTTTAATTTATTGTTTCCTCAAGTAAAGGCAAGTTTACACATTTCTCCCTGCCATGCTTTCAACCGCAGATGCTGAAAACACTGGCGACTACTTATGAGCGGTAGCGCAGCGGCTGGTTCCCTTACAAATATGTTTTTTGACATTTTATTGAAAACGTGTTGACTTCTTGTTGACTCTCATTACTTTCTTTTGACTTTGACTTCATGTTGACATGGTAAACAGATTTCGTTTCATTTTTTGTTGAAACGTTTCTGATGGTTTCCTTTAGCTGAGTCAAACAAAAAGCTGTTGACCACCGAATCAACTTTACGTTGATTTTTTTTTCTGCTGACATCCTGTTGACAGTGCCATCAGGATGACTGCAGTTATGTTTACTTCGTGTTAAAAATGTTCAGTTCACTCCCTGTAGCCAGTGTCATTAGAAACGCTAGAGACTTTCTGTGGATTTTTTATTTGAGCATAATATATCTTGAGTAGATATGTCAAAAGTTTCTTTCCAAATAGTTTCTGATAAGGAGACAACGGTAGAAAGCAACGTCAGTTGTCCCGCCTCCAGCGCGAGCCTCCTGTATACCCTTGAAAACGCGTCGGCGTTCGTGCACTTTGAGCGCGCGCGTGCAGTGAAAGGGCATGGGGCGCATGCTGGAGGCCAGGCGTTCGAAAGGCATATATATATATATATATATTCATCTGCACATATTCATTTATATCTATATATATATATATATATATATATATATATATATATATATTTATTTATAAACGAATATGTACAGATGAATGAACCATACTTAACCCAATGAATCAAAGAATTGAAGTTTTCAGGAACCCGCCGAAAGCTAAAAAACGGCGGAGCCAGGATATGAACTCTGAGCCTCCCAACGGTCGGGTGTGCTCGTGGTCGTGGGTCAGGGGCCCATTTGGGAAAATTATTAAAGTCAGGGATAATTAAGTTGTTAATTATTTTTGTGTAATTAACTTTTTAATATTGTGTTTAAGGGCATGGTTTCAATTAGAAAATTGCTCAGCATCATCGAAAAACACTAAATCAACAAATTGCAGAACGATAAAAGGCACGCGAAGCATTTTACGGCTTTCTGAAAAACCGCACACATTCGAAGGGTTTTTAAGTTTCGGTTTGCTATCGGAGCGCATCTCGGCCCCGGCGGCACCGCGCCCCGTGGAGAGATAGTGCAACCAGCCTCTGCTGCTAATGAAGGATTAGAAAAGTGTTCAGCGACTGCGGTCTTGAAGATGAGACGTCTTTAAAGTGAAGCTGAAGCGGTTTTATATTTGAGTAAATACACTTAAATAGTCTCAACTTGGCCTCCAGGAAGTCCAGAAAATCATTTTCAAAGTACCGCTGAAGCCCCTCCTTCCCGCAGCGTGCAGTCATGAAAGGAGTTTTCGGAATCGCCACTTTCGAGCATCTCCAGGGCCTATCAAAGATATGCACGCGCACTTTTGTTATTTAAAAAAAAGTAAAGTCAGAAAAAGATGTCACGACTGGTGCCAGTGCAGGGGAGTGGCAAGCTTGCAATTGCTAGCGCTGCCACACGTGCGACGCGATCTTGTAGGCCGAAAGATCCTCCTATGACGTAACGACTGGTCGGAGGTTTTTCGACTTTCCTCACGTTTAGTAAGGTTTTCGGGGAAAACGAACCCAAAATTCAGATTTACGGGATAAAACTACGCTGGAATCAACCTCTATCTCATTTTTTTTGACGATGTGTTTCAGCTTCTCTTTAGTGGGACGATGACAAGGGGAAAGCCACTCTAAGCTTGTCTTGAGTCGGAAGAAATATATAAAAAAAAGTTTTGTGTTGCAAAAGGGATCGCATAATTTACATTGGTCATGAGTGGTGATCAATTTATACTGGTCATCAATTAACTAAATTATAACGTTTTGTAGTCAACTTCGGTATAATCAAAAGGGCTCTTTACCCATGAGGGTCTCAGGGGAACTCGTCAACGTGAACCAAGTATCTCAGGTAAAACCAATTCTTCCTAAGTGAGCCCCGCTTATGATCGTTTTTGGAAAAACGCGGAATGACTGATTGATTTACATTGCATATCATTTTATAAATGATAGAATTAGACGCGTGGATGCAGCACTGACGGAACCGGCAAACATTTTCCTCCTCCCTAGCGGTTTGAAGCTGCATATATAATGAAACATCTCTCGTGGAAATCAAAATGGTCAGTGGTATTTGGCCAAAACATTCACACTTGGAAATGGTATAGTCACATAGGACTTATTTTTTTCGCGTACTTCAGACTGAAATTTCTCGCGGGTACTCCAAACTTACAAACGTTGTCATTATCTATTCCCTGTTTAATTTCGAAAGTGGCCTGGAGTTCTTTTTTTCTTGAACTGTACTGCAAATGCGCGTTTTCCTGTTTGTTGCATTATTTTTTTCTCGTTTCTGCGTCGTAATTCGTAATCATTTACTGAGCAGTTTAATCAAGTAATGAATAGCCAACTAGACCAATTCCCAGCACTAGTGCCCTTCAGTTTTAGTTTTGCTCATAAATGTGATGATATTTTAGCCCAGGTATCATAACTTTGTGTTTGCGACTGTTTATTAATCTTCATTCTTCTGAACCTTGCAGGACGAACGATCCGGAAATCCTCTCGTAACGAAAGACGGCCAGCCAGGTCAACCTATGGCAGTGCCAGACCTTTCGGCTATGCTTTTCCCCAGATGAATGGGACCGACTAGTCGGAACAAATAGGGAATGGCCTCAGCTCAGCGAACTACATGCAACATTTCCATTATCTTCCCTACCTTTGTTCGCCGACACAGCACGCATGTTTGTTTTGTTGACCTGTAATTCTCAGAACCTATGGCGGTGATACACCGTACAGTTGTTGCTTTTCTAGCATGCCTGCCTTTTTTCAGCACTACGAAGCAGGAGCGTTGTAACTAAACCACGCTCCTTTATCGTACCCAGTTGTGTCTTCCTCGATTCGTGTGGGTCTGTATGGACGTACTCGCTTACCGCATGTTTAAAGGTGAAGTCAAACCTTTGACTCACGTGCTTAATAGAGAATTATCACTTTTATGTTTGGTTCACGTGCGTTTTTTAGAATCGACTTTTTCAGGACATTCAGTATCCAGTTATTATGCATTGAACCATGGCTAAAAGCGCCAAAAGGAGGTACACAAGATAGAAGACAAACACAAGCGCTTCTTCTATCTTGTGTACGTCTTTTTAGCGCTTTTAACATGCATGGTTCAATACAGTCAACACCAACCATCCCAACAACAAGTTCTTTTACAGTTATCATGCTCGTGTTTTTTCGTGATATTATTATTTTACCTTTTGAATTACACCGCAATACGAATGTAAACCCCTGATTTTCTCTACTTTATCTGCAAGATGTGTCTCTGTTTGCTTGTTCCTTAAATTTGTTCTGGTTGGGCTTCTCTGTTAGTGTAGTATATGTAAAAAGAGCCTGCAATTAACAGAAATTTGACCTTCACGCCTAATAAAAAATGCCCACGCAGCATTCGACTACGAATGGCAGAGAACGGACTGCGAGGACGAGGGGGCGAAGCTCTCATTTCAAGGAGCCGAATTCCATTGGCAACCATGGAAGTCGGACCAGGAGGAGAGGACGGACGGCGGTGCGACTTCTGCCCCCAATCTTATGGTGCCCACAGAACTAACAACACCAGGTATGAGAAGACGCTCACGGGACAACACTCATCCAGCTTCGCACCTTCTTAGGACACCCTCAAGGATTCATGGGATCCACACGGATAGAAAACTTTTCTAGGCTAGCGCTTTCCAGAAGGTGGAAAAAGTGATGAGTCTGATGGTGTACACAAAGTTTCCCTCACGTGGACACTTCATTAAGTTTTAACTAGCCGCCTACATCAGACAAAAAATTGTACTACAACAAAATTCAAAGTTGTTTTTATTAGGAATGGGGAGGGGGGGGGGGGGGGTTAAAGGTGTTACAGTCCCAAGTCTAAGAACTACAACCCAAGTGAAAGTAAACAAACAAACTGGGCTCTACAGAAGGAACATTCAGTCCGAGCACTCGAAGTTTCAATAGGTACATATTATTTGATATGAGATAAATGTACTGTGCTGACTTGTTTATTATATCACAAAATTATCTTTTTTCCTTTAGTTGCGGTTCACCCAGTAGCTCTCGCAAATACTATCAATTCTTTTTGGTGCATGAAATCGCCCAAAAAAGGTTTGGCTGCTCTAAATGATTGAAGCTTTTCTAACAACAATACTTGTGTCGCCGAAGTTTAGCTTTAGACTGGTAAATATCCATATCAATGTCGATTTAAAACATTGTTTTTCGCTGTTTCAGATTATTTTACTAGCCTTTTGAATGCTATATTGTGTAATCTAATAATATGCACCCTAAAAAAAGCCAGTGTGACTACTTTCCTGCACAGCACTCGGAGAGCCATTCACCACAACTTACAGAGGAGACTCGGCGAATGACGATGCCGAAACACATGTTTAGACCAAAAAACGGAGTGAGATTTGTGACATTAAGCATTGCAAAACGTCACGCTTGCATTGCTTCATGTCACAACTCATACTGCGTATTTTTGTCTAAACATATGTTTCGGCATCATCATTCGCTGAGCTGCCTCTGTAAATTTCGGTGATTGGCTCCTCGAGTGTTGTGCAAGAAAGTAGAAGCACGGGCTTTTCTTAGAGTGTGTGGTTGTGAATAAGTCTCTTTCAGCCTTACTTAATATACAGTCGCAAATATTAGGAATGTCAACAAGCTATCACCAAGAGCTCCGTGCTGGCAGTGTTATGCAGACGCAGAAGGAAGTTTTAGTAGACGGTTTCCGCAGCACGCTAAGCACCCGTATAGCGTTCCATAATCCGCCACATGACCTTCAACCATGTAGACAACGTTGGTGTCGCGCACGCGCAGCTGCGGCGTTTTCTTAATGGATACCGTAGCGGAGGAGAAAAACGATCTACTACGACTTCTTAGTGTTGTAGAAAAGTAATGAAATACGTAACTCGTTACTTGCAAAATAAAAGAACGCGTTATTTTTACCGTTACAGAAAAGGTAATGGACGTTACTTTTGCGTAACTTTTTATGTATAAATTAACAATAACAATGTTTTCTGCGCTCTTTTTTTTTTTTTTTTTGCAGCGTTTTTTTTTTTTTTTTTACATTGGGATAACTGGAGCGGGCGTTGAGGTTTTTCTAAAGTGGAACTTTTTGCTTCCGGAAAGGACAGAAAAATTTTTAAAATATGTGGAATGAGTACAATAATTAATGACTTCGATCATATTCTACGTTCCAGCTTAACTCCAGACGCAACCGACGCTACGAGCTAATGGGACCAGTAAAGCAGCGGCAAAATCGCAAGTCACTGGGTCTCTTTTGTAATTATAATTGGGGTTCAGCTTGTAGTGTCAGCTACAAGCTGACACTACAATATTCCAGAGCCGTCTTTGTCTGCATTCCGTCTAGCCACCGATCTCTTTCTGTGGCCTTAACTTTCTTCTTAAAGGGCAACTCCGCTCAATTCCGAAAAATTTAGGCTTCCTTGTGATTCACGTTCACAAAGCACTACTAAACAACTCTACGTCTTTGGATTCGCGAAATGTGGAATATTATTTGTGTAATCCTAATTTAAACATCAGCAGATACCGAAACCGAAACTTTGGTTGCGTCAGGCAACATTGGTCTCGGGTCGTCAGAGTCATGGTCACGTGACGTCGAACCACGTGGTCTTGTGACGTTCGGGAAGGAGCGAGAAACAGGACACGCGACGCGGGCAGGTCTTTTTTTTTAAATTATTATTGGACGCGGATAGGTCGCTTCGCATGGCGTGGACGGTGATGGCTCGGGGCAGAGGAGGAAGGGGAGAAGACGAAAGAGGAGAAGGGGAGCGGAAAAACAGACCGATAAGCGCGCAGAGCAGCGCAAACTAGCAAACTAGCGCATCCGTGTTACGATGATCACGTGAACGCCCGGTCAGCCAACACCGGGAGGAGAAACTCATGACGTCATCGTTCAATTTCGCTCTGAGAAGTAAAAACAAACAAAACGTGAGAATGACGTACACATGCCTCTGACGTAGTGGTTCAACGTTGGCCGCTCCAACTCCGTGGCAATAGGGAGTTTTCGTAGACCGCGCTGCCCCCTCCGCTAAGCCTTCCGCAACGAAGAAGTTGCTATTGCGCCTGCGCGCCGATAGCCTTGACTGTGGAGTTCCCGCTATTGTAGCGGATTGCGGAGGGCCTTGCGGAACGGCGAAAACGATCTACGAAAACTCCCTATTGACTGCGCTGATGATTGCGCCTCGCGCCACACGCTAGACTTGGCAGATTTCGGCGACTTGGCTCGCTTGAAGGTTTGCTGGTCTGTTTATTAAATATATAAACGCAATTAGATCGTAATATTTGACATGGAGTCTTCCTATATGATACTGAAGAGGGCTACATAGTTTTCTAAATATCAAAAATGAAGCGGAGTTGCCCTTTAACTGAGACCTGCTTTTGCGTATCTCCACTATAGCCTAAAAACTTTCCTCTCAATTTCCTAGTGCGCTGTCTCCACTTTGTGTCTATGCTCCTCATGTACAAATAGCTGAAAACCTTTCGTGCCCATTGGTCCCCATCCATCTGCCTCAACCGATCCTCAAATTCTATCTTGCTCACCGCTTCCCTGCTCGCAAAAGACGCCCATCCCATGTCTTCTTGCACTCCCAGGTTTGGCGTTTTGCAATGTGCCCCCAAAGCCAGCCTACCTACTCCGCGCTGTTTTATTTCTAGTCTTGCATGCACTTAGGATTTTATGAACAGCACTGCGTTTCCAAGAGTCAAGCCAGGAACCATGACCCTTTTCCAAATCTCTCTCACCACCTCATACCTGTTGTAATTCCAAAGTGCTCTATTTTTCATTACAGCCGCATTTCTGTTGCCCTTACCTATTATATACTTTTCATGCTCACTGAGATATTCTGCACCGTCACATCTCCATACTCCTAGATACTTGTATTTACTAGCTCTCTCAACTGTGATATTCTGTATTTTCAGCCTCTCAACTTCATCATTGTTAAAAATCATGACTGCTGATTTTTCACTACTGAATTCTAAACCTAATTCCTCTCCTTCCTTACCACAGATGCTCAATAATTCCTACAACTCTGTCCTGTTGTTAGCCATTAGCACAATATCATCCGCATACATCAAACCCGGTAAGGATTTCTGAATTTTTTGGCCTAACTTACTGTACGAAAGGTCGAATCCAAGCCCACTCTTCTCTAGTCTATCCTCCAATCCTCTCAGATACAACATAAACAGCAAAGGCGATAACGGGCACCTCTGCCTAAGGCCTCGTCTTATCTCTATTTTCCCCGTCACCTTTCATTCCCATGTTATAATCACCTTATTATCTTTGTCAATGTTCCTTAATAGGGCTGTTGGTCCTTCATCTAGGTTTAAGCTCTCCAGTATGTCCCACAGGTTCCTTTGGTTCACATTGTCATAGGCACCCTTAATATCCAGAAATGCCAGCCAGAGCTCTCTGTTTTGTTTTTGCGCTATTTCTATACACTGTGTTAGAGAAAATATATTGTCCTCCAACCTTCTTTGTTTCCGAAACTCATTCTGTAACTCGCCCAGTATGCCCTCGCAATCTACCCACTCCTCCAGTCTGTTCTTTATAATCTGCATTACCAACCTGTAAATAACTGGTGTCATGATTATGGGGCGATAATTCCTAATATCAGACTTATCTCCCTTTCCCTTATATATCATACTCATCCTACTAAGCCTCCATTTATCTGGAATATTTCCTTTTGTTATCATAGTGCTCACTACCTCCCTTAGTTTTGCCTTATATTTAGGACCGAAATTCTTTACCAGCTTGATTGGGATCCCATCTGTGCCTGTCGATGTGCCACTAGGGACTCTTCGTTCCGCCTTTTCCCATTCTCTTTGTCCAAAATCCGCGATGTTACAAGCTGGACTGCTACTTTCTTCGGTTCTCCTATCTTCCACATGTACCCGTTCCCGAAATTTCTCCTCCATCACTGCTCCTATATATCTAGGGTTGGTCGTTTTCGGGTAAAACCCGATTTTACCAGACTTTTACACCCCGAACATGTTTCAGGAAAATCGGGTTAAACCCGATTTCTCCCCGAATTCCAAAACCACATAACCAACCTCTTTATTTTTACGCCGCACGGAGTTTGCCGTGCACACACGCTATCTACCCTACTTCGGGACAACAGTGACCTGTAGTTCGTTTCGCAAGCTGCGTGCAGCACTGTGGACGCTACACGGCTCTCAACCAACCGCCCAACGAGCGCGCCTAACTCACCGTGGCGTACGGAGGCCGGCTGAGGAAAAGCGTTGGGGCCTCGGAGGGACATTTCCGTCCCCCCGCTGTGCATGCGGAACCGCCTCGGCACGCCACGTAGCTTCGGCTATGCTGCACGCAGCTTGTGAAATGCACTATCAATCCCCCTTCGATCGTCGAGGTGTCGACTACCAACAGGGTCTCTCGGGTAGCATGGCCATCGCGCTGACGTCCAACCTTTCTCACGAAGAACGTTCGAGCTAGTCAGTCGCGTAAACAGATCAGGAAAACTTAACAAGTTTAGTTCATAGCAAAATATTTGATCGAAGACGACCGTCCCTCGAACGGTCGGGATTTTCGTTGGCACCTGAGAGAGAGGAGGATTCCTTGGGCGGTACTTCCCTTGAAGCGACCGACGGTAGTCGAAGCTAGAAAACCCTGATGTCCCCCCCCCCCCCCTCCCCATTTACCAGCCTGAAACACATCCCTAGTTTTAACGCATTAGCAATAAACAGCTCGTCATACCCTCCAATAACAAAAAAAAACTAATGTATTATTGAGTACACCCGTGTATTTAACCCGAAAAAACCCGAATTACCGAATGTTTCCTAAAAAAAACCCGATTTCTCCCCGATTATCAGCCTGAAAAATAGCACCCGATTTTTACTTCCCGAATTTAGAAAAATATAAAACCCGAAAACGAACAACCCTATATATATCGTATCACACCATCCCCCTCTAATTGATTTCCCTGATGCGCGAGTATGAACCTCTGTCTAGCTTGCGTCGTTTCACCGAGTGAGTTCAAGTACTCCCAAAACTTCTTAGCTGCGTTTCTATCTTTCTTGCTTACATTGCTCATCCATTCCTCACCTTTTCTCTGAATTTTCGCATTGATCAAACTGGATGCCTCTCGGCGACATGTTATGAAAGTGTCCCATTTTCTCTTTACTTCCGTTTCTTAATCCCCACTGCGCTTGGAGTACCTGCGTTCTCTAGAGGCTTCTTGACGTTTTTGTATCGCTTGCTTCACTTCTTTGTCCCACCAGCTTTTGGGTCTATGTCCTTGCTTCCCCTTTCTTTTGCTCTAAACTTTGTCTAGTTTCACAGCAAAAAGCCTGGTTAGGCTCTCATAGGTCCAATCTGTATACCGTTGCCCTGAAACTGCTTCCTGTATTCTTTTAGCAACTATTTCCAACTCTTTGTCGCTGCAGAAAGTTTGCTTTGAATTATGTTTTATAGTTTCAGAATTTACTTTGCTGGCAAAATTCAGCTTAATACGCTGTGATCACTACCAAGACTTTTGGAACCTTCTTCATCTATTTTCATTACTTGTAACTCACCATATATTTTGTGTGACATGAGTACGTAATCTATAGTTGAATGTAGATTGCCAGTTTCCCACGTTATGTGCCCGTCGCACTTCTGACTGGTATTCCATAAAACTAAGTCATATTTTTCTACCAGTTCTAGTAATGTGCTTCCAGTTGAGTCCGTATACTCATCCAGACACTCGATATGGGCATTCATGTCTCCCATAATAATTATTCCAGAACCTTACCCTAGCTCACTAATGTCTCTTGATGTGCAATCAATCATTTTTTTCTTTTCCTCTTTAGCACCTGTCCCTGTCCATAAGTAAACAACTCTAAGGACTGTTGATTATCCAGCGACTTTTTCTTTCAGCCACAAATGTTCAGCGCACTCCTTTCTGGTCCTTTGAAAGTTCATATTCTTCTTAATAAATGCTCCAATTCCACCTCCCTTTCTCGTTCCCCCCCCCCCCCCCCCCCTTTGTTGCATTGTTGAACACACATAGTCATGGCTGCAAGGTGGCTGCTCTATGTGTCTGAGATGTGTTTCCACAAACCCATACACCATTAAATCCTCCTTTCTTAGTTTCCCATCTTAACCTATTTCTACCACGCTGCATGTTAATATATCCAATGTCTGATTGTGCTGTTTGTTTATACTTGTTCTTTTACGTTTTCTCCTATTTTTAACCCTGGGGGCCTCTCCTGACTTTGTTGGGTTTTCAGTTACTTCAGTGCCCCCAGGGCCCTCGGTCCCTCCAAGAAAGCAGTCACCGTGCGACCCATCCTATCCCCCACCCTGTAACCCGTGGCCTCACTGTAGTGAATGCTATCTGCAAAAGGGCGGGAAACAGCGTCGTACACTTCCCTGTTTACTTCCATTACGTCGTACCGAAAGTGTCGACTCATACCCTAATTACTGTGTTTGCTTCGACAACCCTCCCCTCCGTTGCCCCGGACTGCCGCCAAACTTCTGGAATGGTGCACACAACCACGTGCACATTCTCAGACACGTCCCTCAGCTTACGCATTCCCACGTTTAGCTGCTTTCCAAAATTCTGGCTCCTACCCTTGAGCACATCATTAAGCCCCGCATGAACTATTACTAGGTTTCTTCTCTCCCGGCTATCCCACACCCCCTCACGTGCTGCGGTCATAGCATCCACCATGCACTTCCCTGGCTGGACCTCTACGGTTACCCTCTGGTCTCCCTTCGCCGTGTTATGCACACCCCTCTTAACCCGTGCTACGTTAGAGCTCCCCGCTACCAGTACCCTAGATCCCCCTGGTACCTCCACGCCTTTGTCCTGCAACTTATCTCCTGTCACCTGACTGCCCGACACCTGCTGCTCGAAGGCGCCATTGACCTGAGTGTCACTCAGCTCTCCAGCGTCGTCGAGCCCGCCAGCCAACAGGCTGGACTCCCGACCACCAGTGACCCCAGCCTGCAAACTGCCGGTTCGTCCCGCTAGAACTGACACTTCCTCCTTTCTTCCCTCGCTACTCTCACTCGCTCGAATTCAAACAGAGCCTACTTTGCGAAACTAACTTCAACTGCTGCTGTTCAAACCGGTTCAAACCTAATACTGCTACCGCATAGTCACGTCCAATCAACTCTCAAAAAAGAGAGAAAAAAGAACAAAAACTGGCACTTAGCTTCGGATGCTCGAGGAGAACCAGGAAACACGTCCGCTCACTTGTCGATATACCCGCCACCAAGCGGTGGAAAAGGCGGCGCATGCTAGAAAGCTGTCGTGGGATCAGGCGCCGACGCGCGCCGCGCACTGCTGTGAAGCGGCGAGCGTAGAAAGGTTCTGGATGTACTCGGCGGCGCTGCGGTCGTATGTGCTTGAGGATCCGAGCCGCTCCGAGCATTCCGAAGGCCTTCGGCGAGCAGGTTTGGCTTGCGGTTCATCCGTTTAGCAGTTTGGCAGCGCTAAGTGGCTCCCGTTCTGAACTGGTCTTTACCCCGTGTTTACGGTCGTTTGTGGCCTATGAAGTGTCATGCCGCAACCCGCTTCATCCTTGCGATCCAGCACATGCTTTAGTGGCGCCCTATCAAGCCGTAGAGACGGAGTGCGGCAGCCGTGAGAGCTCCCTCAGCTCACTACCCCTCTTGTAGTTCACGGCCACCCAAGCCAGGACCAGGGACGTCATGAAGGAAGTTACTATGTTCAGTGCGCTCATGTTCGGTGCAAATAAAAAACCAGTCAAGAGGTCGTTGCAGGGCCCCTTTAAGGTAAAATTAAGTATAAAAAGGCGCAAAAAACGTAAGCGTACTTTTTCAGGTTTTCGGAAAAATATGTATCGGGTAATGTCGCTACGTTATCCGTCACTTTAAATAAGTAACGTAAGTACGTCACCCGTTGCTGTCTTAAAAAAGTAAAGGTCACGTTACGTTACTGACAAAAAGGCGTTACCGGTAATGACGTTACTTTTAACGCTTAGCACCAACACTGTGCAGCGGCGGCCGCGGCGGCTTGAGCTCCCTTTCGCACTTGGTTAGCAGAACGCGCAAGCCACCACAGCTTTTGTACCGTGGGGCTGCCAGATTCAAGTCTTTAACGATCGGCTGTAGACCTTTACAACCATCGCGAATGAACGTTTTAACATCTCAAATGAATAAATACCTACTTTAGACCGTACCGGCACGATGTAGGTATTCATTACCATGTTCATTAGGTACTCGAAATTCATGTTCACAACGATAAAAACAGCTCCGACCTCTTTTGCTTTGTTGCGTCTTCCCAACAGACTGGATCGAAGAATACAATGGCGACGAAGTGGATATCTTTGAGCGTGACAGCCGCACGGGTGACAGCTCTCCTCAGACCGATTGGCCGGGCCCACACAAGCAGCAGACGCACCGACGACTGAACAATCACCCGTGCCGCTTCTGTCCTCACTCAAGCTCTTCCGCAACGGATGTCGCCATCCACGAGAGGACACACACTGGCGAGAGGCTCTTCAGTTGTGGTGTCTGCGAGAGAACGTTCGCGCATAAGCCTAACTTGACAGCTCACGTTAGAATTCACACCGGAGAGAAGCCGTTCAAGTGCAACACGTGCAGCAGGGCATTTACTCAGAAAGGCAGTTTGGCGAATCATGAGAGGACTCACACAGGAGAGAAGCCGTACAGGTGCGAGACCTGCAGCAGAGCGTTTACGACTAATAGCGGTTTACACCAACATCGGAATATGCATCACAAGCAGTCTTGTACACGTTACTAAAAAAAGGTAATCGATTACAATTACTATTACTCTTGGCTAAAAAGTATTCAATTAGATTACTTGATTACTCGACGGCAAAAGTAATTGGACATTACTTAAAGAAGTAATCGTTACTTTTCCTATTACTTTATTGTGTGAAGACGCATCTTTAGCGCTCATAACAATGAACTACTTCCAACCTGTGTTTCACATTTGCACAAGTATTGGAGAAGAAAAACTGGCTCCCTCTTTGTGGTCGTTGCACCTCCTCAATGCGGACACAGGCATAGAATTCGTTTGAAGACGTTTAATGATTTGGGCGTTCGCCAGTGCGTGTGTGTGTGTGGGGCGGGGGGGGGGGGGGGGGGGGGGAGCGGAGCGGAGGGGGTTCGAGATCTTGTTAAGCTTGAGCAAGGGTTGTCGCTCAAAGTTTGCGTCGCTCATTTTATTATTCACATGTGGATGAGCTCGCATGTTATACAAAAGAGCAGCAGCTCTAGGATTTGAAACGGATCATATATAGTCATCTTGTAAACCCTGAGATGGGGAACGATAAAAAAACGGACGAACACAACAAAATCTCAGGGTTTACACTCTCTCACTTTTTTTTTATCGTTCCCCATCTCAGGGTTTACAAGATGACGATTGATTACCAGCTCGCCTGCACTCTCTCACTGCTTACATATATAGTATCCACTAGCGGAAGAAATCGCCCGACCACTTCTCAACTCGAAACATTGCTTGTCACAAAGACCACATAGGGGAAATGGGGAAATATTTCAAATGCCTTTGTTATATTTTGCATCCGCTTCAGGCAATCTTCGGTTCTGGTTCTCCTACGGGCTGCGAGTAGGTACCCTAAGCAGGATTTTTTAATTTTTTTTATTTCTTTGTGTGTGTGCGTGAGGGGGCTAGTTTGAACGAAGGACTCACAAAGCTACATTCTGCTTCCTCAAACTTCGCCCTGAATGGCCTTTGTCACGCACTGTTGCTTCCCTGGGGCTTCCCACTCCCAGTTCCAGCTCGAAAAAAAAAAGAAGAAAAAAAATGGACATTCCACAGAAACTGTAGATAGAAAGAGATTGACCTCGTTTCCTTCAGCTCCGCAAAAATCTTTCTTTTTTCCGTTCGAAAAAAAAAATCAAATTTTATTTTTGTCATTTGATAAAAAAAAAAGGCGTGTGCCGGGGGGGGGGGGGGGGGGGGGTCCCGTGGACAAATTGTAACGGTTATAAGTAATTTTATTACTTAAAAAAATAATCAAATTACTCTTGCGATTACTGCCTAATAAAAGGAATCACCCGATTACAATACTACTCCAAAAAGTAATCGATTACAAGTAATTTGATTACTTGTAATGCGTACGGTACAAGTCTGATCACAAGTGTCCGAAACTCTCACGTGCGTCATAGCTCTGGAGGAATGTAAACGAAATACTCGAGCACCGACGTGTGTTCGTTTCGTTTGGCGATGGACCTGCGGGGTTCTACTGGCGAACAGTGTGTGTTTAGCATTGTTCAAAATATTTCAGCGTGTCATTTATTGTGTAAACAAAAATAAAAATATGATTTTACCTTAGCAGAAACGACCAGGGTTCCTTATTGTACACGAAAAAAAATTACCGGACGCATAGTATTTTTTATTCATTTAGAGAGTCATTAATCAAGGTGCTGCAACAAGAGTTTTTGGGTTGTCTGTAGGAACATGTTGCTTACAAGTCGGCCTACTCATACACAGAAGGTACGAAAGAATAAAATGACTAAGGTCTTTCAATAGCAGAAATCTTGGACATTGCAAATGTTAAGAAAGCATAAGAAAAACAGAGTAATCTGGAGGGGCCAACACAATTTTAAAATATAAAAATAAAATTGCATTGAAAACTGATTAACACACCGATCTAGAAAGTAATACTTTGTGCATTAGTACTGGAAGAGAATATACAAGACTCTACAAGACTAGAAGAATTACGAATGCAATGTTATTTCCTAGTTTATTTCGTAATATTCTTCGTGTTTTTTTGCCGGTTTCAATTGCTGAATTGCGATGACATCATTCAACGTGCTTGCTACAGGAAATACTTGTCTCTATGTCTTTCTTTTGCATATATAATTTTACTTTTTTTTTGCAGATTGACAACGACTGTCTTTGATCATTTAGGATATTCGTACTTTTAGTGCTATTCGTTTGGTATTCATCAAGTTTTACTTGGATTCTTCAGGCCTTTCTTTATTCAAACTTCCTCTTCTAGTAGATGGATCAAATATATTTGTTTTACTAAAGGCATGATTGACTGAATTCTGTTTATTCATGGAAGTAAAAACTGTATAGGCATAATATATTTAAATGTCTTAATCTACGCTGACTACAATGGTTTTCACTATTGTGTGATGCGGCAGAATTGCTGTGGGTGGAGTTGTATTTACAAAGGTATAAAATATATTTATTTTTATTTTTTTACGTATACAGGGAGTTTGTTGGAAAACGGGAAAAATCGCTCCTGCATAAACTAAGCACCACACAGAAAAAAGGTTGATGCCGTAATGGTCTGTGTCAAAGGAAAATTGTTGGAGTTCAATATAAATGGATAATTAATAAGTACTTAAATTGTTATATACTAGTTTTGAAGGCATGGTTTCAATCATAATTTTGCTCGGCATCATCTAAAACTACTAAGCACACGCGCATTGCAATGATTTAAGGTCCGCGCAGCATTTTAAGGCGTTCCTATAAAACGTTCAAATTGGACATGTTTCTGGGTTTCGGTTTCTTATCGGAGCGCACCTCCGCGCGGGCAATCCTGCCCCCCGTGTCTAAAACGCGCAACGTTCGTGCGCCGCCACGCATTGCACGTGAAAGTGCTTCTCAACACTGGCACCGATGTCAAAAAGGCACACCTTATGTGACACTCCGGAGGCTTTTTCTAGCCTACTTGCGATACGTGGCGGCACACGCACGTTGCGCGTCTTATGGTGAATTCCAGTCGTAGATCCGGAGCCCTTTCCAAATCCGCGAGGGAGGCAAAATTCCGCTCCGTGGGACCCGCTCCGAGTCGACGAGGGTAAAAGGAACTCGCATTTTTGGAGCTACCTCCCCCAAGCACCTCTCCCCCACACCCCTCCCCCGCTCGAGCTTGACAAGCCCGCCAACGCCTCAGCCGACTGATCTTTCCTACGTCCAGTGACAACTGTCACTGCTTAGCTGCAGAAATGACACGCCACACAGGCCGGGCACAATTATACGTACCACGGAACCCATGTCACAAATAACGGAGAAGACGTCCGCGTTCGGCATCGTCACATACCTTTCGGCCGCCTCGAAGTGGCGGAGCAGGCACAGCGATTGCCATCGGTGAAGTTCAGATTTCTGGTATGACTTTATTAAACACAGAGGTAACAAACCATCACTTGCACAGTCGTCGCCTAATCAGTGGGCATGGGATCGGCAACATGACGCTGGTCACTTACGCCCTGCGTTTTTGCTTGATTTCTCAAGCTTGTGCCTTGTCGACGTCCCGTGCGTCGGCACTCCTGGATCATCGCGGAAGTGACAGCGGTTTCTTCGACACGTGGAGTGACTTTGAGTTGCATGCGCCCCCCCGATTCGACAAAGCAACATCGACAACAGCGCCACTAACAGCCATCGGTCCCTACTTCTACGAGTGGCAGGACACACGATCCTCCAGTGGGCATGGGATCGGCAACATGACGCTGGTCACTCACGCACTGCGTTTTTGCTTCGTCCAGGTTGGTGAACTTCCATCCTTGCATGCTATAAGAAAACAGGCAACAGGTTTTTAGTTGTCTTCCCATGCCCACATGTGTTTTGTGTACAATTCGCGAGTGTTCCGATGTTTTTTCATTGCTACATGCTTTCGAGATTTGTGGCAACTAACCCGGGCCCCAAGACCAGTCCACGGTCCGATGCTGGTGTTCAGCCCGAGCCCTCGTTGGCTGATATTATGACTCTGTTGCAAAGTTTAAACACTCGCTCGCAAAGCATCGAGAAGGGTCAGGCCGGTTTGATCAAATCGGTGGACGAGATAAAGAAAAATCAAAGGTCAATCAAAGCACAAGTTGCTGACATTGGCACCCGGTTGTCAACTCTAGAATCACGATCAGTCGCGCTAGATGATTTGTCACGGGAGTTCCGAGCCATGCAGCAGACGATCCAAGTAGTTCGGAAAGAGAACATCACCGTAGCAGCGCCAGTCAGTGATTTTGAAGATAGACTGCTTCGTGATAATCTCATATTTCACGGCCTTTCCGATTCACCCTCTGAATCATGGTGCCAAACAGAACAAAAGCTGACGATCTCTTTACTGGAGTGTGCCAACTTTCAGCTAAATCCAGATAACGTTGAGCGAGCACACCGCCTGGGCCTCTTTCATGCCACCAAGTGTCGACCGATCATCATTAAGTTTTCATCATTTAAGATACGGGAAAAGGTGCTGTCATTACGTTCTAGCTTGAGAGCATCGCGTGTTTCGGTCTGTGGAGACTATTGCCCTGAAACGCGTCTGGCAAAGAGAAAATTGATCGAATTTGGGAAAACACAATCTTCTGTTTTTCAATTAGGGTACAACAAATTAATTGTAAACAAAAAATGTTATGTTTATGACGCTTCGGTGGATAGTGTTTATGAAACTGCTTTGACTAACAGCACCCCTGTTCCTTCGAACTTAACTACACCTGTATCTTGTGAGACCGTTCACTCTGAAGAAGTCGTTCATTCCGGTGGTGCCGCTTCTAAAAGAATCGCTCGTTCTGGGGTCACGGTTCATCCTGATAGGAGGGGCGGTGGCCCGCAGTGCACGCGTTAAAATGTATCTGTGCTTTTTACTAACATTCGTAGTGTTATGAGCAAAAGACAGGAACTTCATTCTGTCATTGATTCTTGTGACGCGGATATTGTTGTTTTAACTGAGACTTGGTTATCTGCAATGGTTCGGGACAACGAAATTTTTTATGGTTCCAAGCGTTTCAACGTGTACCGGTGTGACAGAGAGGCTAGAAGTGGAGGTGGTGTACTGATTGCCATTACCGACGCTCTTATCTCGTTCAGTGTGAATGTACCAT